GTAAATGATAAAAAGCATGAAACTTGGCACAATTATACTTGAGCTATACTGAATATTTCAAAGGTGGAGCCCATAGATACATCATGTTTTTTACCCCAGCAACGAGCCGTTTAAGCATATCTAATATATTCCAAAAGGATAATTCTATGTGTTTCAGCATCAAAACTATCTAAAGATATGTTCTAAAGCGACTACAAGTATCAAAATTAAACAAAAACAGAATTTGCTTGTTGCTAGGCAACAGATGAACCATACCAAATGTCTATGTCTTAATTATGTTTCTACTTAATACTGCCTAGAGCTTACGGAAGAGAAATATTTGGATATATTATAATCTTTACAGATTCTCATTTATGTTAATTGACAGATAACAACATATTTAGTTGCTAAGTGACCTGTTTACTATAGCAACAAGTTATGTACACATGGAAAACAGTTTATGGATAAAGGGTCCATTTAACTCAAACGATGTTCTATTTACCAAAGGCCTATTTACCAAAATCAGAAAACTATGATATTTTATCGCATGTACATCAAATTGAAACAATGTTAGGCAATACATTCAATCCATCTATGTTTATTCAGATGCATTGTCTCAACAATATGTAATCTCACCATGAACATTCTCAAGTCATTCATCATAGTTTCAGGCATTGTCACAATGTCCTGTGCATGTGCAATAAACGATGCATTTTAAGTGTGCTCGTACACATTTGCAGTCTCTACATCTGCTCCTACATTGACACTTCAGCAACTCTGAGCAGGATGCACTTGCTTCTAGTAAGTTTGTCTACAAGGGCCTCCACTGTTCTAGGCAAGTCCATCCCCACTCAGAAGGGGAAGGCAACTGGCGATATGGTATAGTAGTATTTCCCCAATAGTGCCGGACCTTGCAATGCTGCATTCCTGATATGTTGCTGTAAGGCCGCCTTGGTAGGAGGAAGGGCTGACATCTGAAGCCCTTTTCATGTGAAAAGAAGCTTTCTAGCTTTGTTGATGGTCCGTGATGGAGGTACTTGTTGCTGTCTGTCATAGAGAAGGTGAAGTACTCTAGGGAAGACTCAGTCTCTTCAAATATTTGTTCTGGTGCACTGTGCAGTTCATAGAAGGCTCCAGTGAGTTCATCATTTGTCTCCCACACTTTCCATGCAGTCTTCTTTCCAACTTGGGCAAATTGGAACACAGTGTCACAGCGGTGAAAGTATGGGTCACCGGAAGTACCAAAGATTTTTGTGGGCCAAGGGAGGCACTTATCTCATGGGCCAGGATGTAGTGAAAGTTCTTGGCACTTCCGAATGGAATCCAGAGGTCTATCCTTCCTAGCTGCTGGACAGTCACTACTGCTAACACAACTACATTGGTGTCTACTGTCCGAACAAGGATCTTGTGGAAGCCCCTGTCCGACTGCTGCTATTCACTCAAAGAAACTACTGCCAGTTCTTTGGTATGGAGCTGGACACCTCAACATGCCTCGTTGGCTAGGACCATAGCACGCTTTTTTTAGGCTGTTGTAAAAGTATTGATCCCACACAATATCTACTCATTGAGCTTTATTCTGTTCTCTAGTGATGTGTGGGACAAACACATTTGCAGCGTAGTCGCCAAATTTTTTTCATCCTCCAGGTCTAAGAATGTTCATGAGGACAGCACCATCCATGATGCTCACATCTGCTCTGGCCTTGAATGACATGGAGACTGGACATGTTGTTCAAGACAGCCAATGAGATCTGATTTTTTTTCCTGATGTAATTGTTTATATGAAGAAAGGGATGGTGAAAATTGAGCTGAAGAAATTGTCCAAATCACCATCTCTTGTCTGGGATGCAACATACAGTCTTGCAAAGAGAGATGATTCGCTTTTGAGAAGATTGACATGTGTCCCTGCTTTCTTTGTGTGCTTGAACAATACTACTTTGTTGGCCGGAGTCACTCGTCCAAAAATGTTCCATACTGTTCTTGACCTTTTGATTGTAGTGTAGTGAGGCACTCGATTGACTGCTTGTCCATGATGTCCTTTGAATGCAGTCTCAGAAGATCTTGGCTTTCTTTTTCAAATGGACTCCCTATGCCCTTGATTACTCTGACCAGCATATCGACCTGTGTAGAAAATTGCTTCTGGGTACCATCAGTTTGCTCATGGTGGTTTCTCTGGCTGGGACTCTCTCGTTTCCCTACCATGGATGACTCCAATTCAGATATGACACGGACAAGTTCTAGCACTGCTACTGCTCATCAATGATGCATTGATGCTTCGGCATCCTGTGTCAGTCCAATGACTTCCCCTTCACCCTTCATCACACCATTATTTTGCTCATGGCCATGATCAATGGCGATGAGAGGGAATTTTCTCAAAGATTTGGCCATGCAAACTTGGCGTGCCGAAATTCTCAAGCAACATGAGAACGGATGCCTTCCAGGCTACACTTGTCTTTTTTGTGAATGTGAACATCCAATGGGCGTAATAGGTGTGGTTGAGACCAAGGTGTCAATTTAGTCAGTGTATCTTTGTACAAATCAAAGTCACCAGTACGCAATGGACGTACAAATGCCAAGGCAAGCAGTTCCAATTCAAGGTTTCTGTACCAGTACAGGAATTGTGGACTGTCAGTCTTCCGACGTGTGCACCACATGATGAAACTTTCTGCAGGGCCTTCTATGTTGGTGGCATACACATCATATGCATTCTTCAGGAGAATATACAGTGTGCATGCAGCTACTTGATGGGCATGCCAGGTCCGAGTGACATGGGATGCATTGAGGAAAGATTCTGCAATTCCACGAGTGGCAAGTTCTGCCTCTTGAAAGGCTTAAACCAATCTTCTCCCTTCCTGCCAATGACCCAGGACTTTGTTGCAACGTGTGGAGTCCACCAAGAAGGATTACAAACTTGTCCTCTTCATACTGGCTGTCCATGGACCATTGTAGTTGTTCCAGTTTTGCGAACAGATCGACACAAATTACTAGAATCTGACCAAATCTGTTGTACAAATTGGTGAGGCATCTTACATGGTATTTTGCCTCAAGGGAGATAAGGGAGATCTACTGCACTTAATTTCGCCAGAAGAGCTTTGTCTGGTATCTCTTGTGCACACTTCCTCACACGATAATCTTTACCTATTTATATTATTGTTCTATAAAAATAGGCCAACAATAATTGATGGGTTAGAAAAGCCAACATGGTGTTATAATCAGGTAAATGGATTACCTAGCAACCATTATAAAACAATGTGCAGTTTACTTTTGCTCCAGAGTGAAGATATGATGAATACTAAAGCTAAAGCAGATATAAAAATACATTAAAATTGTTCGGAAAATGGTCTGCAGGTATCTTACATGTTGGTTGCTATGGAAAATATGTTGCTTAGCAACCATTGCTATGTTATTTACAGTTTGCATTGGCTCCACCTCTCAAAATGTTTAGAATGATGTGACATACATGTGTGCTAATTTTTATGCTTTTATCATCATGTGAGCAATTTTCGCACCTATTGCCTGGACTAAACTTTCTAATAAACAAAAGACCATAAATTGAAAATAAATTACTTCTTTTTGGCTATGGAGGCACCCCAACCATTTACACACTAAGCAAATACTCGAATTGAAGATAGAATTGTGTTTTTCCAGAAAAAAAAACGTATCCAGCATATTTTGTGGTCCAATGAGGCTTGTATTGACCGTTGCCATGCAAGTACAGACTGTTGCTATGCATCACACAGTTCAAGATGACTGCCATCACTAAGTTGTAATCATGAATGTATGCAATTGTTTTGTAGTTTACAGCCAGAGAAGAATTTTTGCCCTTGCAATCCACTACTATACACTGTCTATAGGCACTTTACTTCCATTTTTTCTAAATGTTGTATTTGGATCTGTACATTAAAATTTTTTCAAAGCACATCGAAAAATATTTTAATGTTAAAATTAAATATTGTTCTAGAAGTAAGACTAGTCTCACTTTTTGACTAAATTACAAAATATTTTTGCATCACAAATACTCCAGCAATAGTGTATTTGTATTATTTTTTTGCAAATATCTGGTAAATGAGCTCTGTGGCTGTAATTGCATGTATTATAAACAGATTGAGAATGTGCTCTATTCAAATGAATGTCATCAATGTACCTCGGAATTTGTGTAGCAGTTAGTTTTTGGTTACTGAGATGGGACAGATGTACATTGGGAAATCGGAGTAGTCTGTAATTTGAATTATTTTCAACTGAGGAATGTCATTAAATTTTGTTTTAAAAAAACAACACTACCTAGTTGTATTCAAGTTTATACAACATTGGAACACTTTGATTGCATTGATAAGAGTGAACTGCAACATTCAAATATATTAATGTCACATTCAATATTTATAGGCAAGTTTGGGTTCAGGGCGATAGGGTAGGCAAGAGAACTGCCAAACTCAACATAGGTGGTTGGAATAGCTATACAACTTGTTTCAAGAATGTTTAACCATTATTTTGCCAGCCTCGTGTACTTTTACATTGACTTGAACAAATGGGTTAAGACACTCTTGCAAATGTACATCACACTTGGTACGTTATTGATGTCCACAGATTTGATTCAAATTTTCTTAACTAATTTGAACATGCTCTTTGATCGCTGTTTTAAAGGTTCAACAACAGACTGGTGGTAGTTAGTCTTAAAACCCAAAATTTTACTCAAAAGTTGTATTTTGGTTCCAAAATGGCAGTCTCATGGCCATGTTTCCATATTTTAAAATTTGGCTCAGGGCACTGGAAAAAAAAACACAAAATCACAACTGTTTCTACAGCATTCTTTGGCAATTTTTATTCCAACATGGTATGAACACCACGTTACTAATGCACATTGGTCATTTTTATAAAGGGATTACAAAACAATCAACTGGCAGCCATTTTGGTTTCTTGTCATGGTCACGCATGTTTTGGTTAAATTGTTGGTTATAAAGATATAGTATTTTTTGGTTAAAAAATGAAATTCAATTAGCCCTCTTTTGCATCTTCAAATTTCAATTGCCCAAGCACACAAGACCAATTTTTTGACCGCGATTCGTTGCTTTTGTATAAAGGCACAGAATTATTTGACGGTTGCCATAACTGCGGAAAACTAGTTTATTTGATGTCAGTTTGAAAATTTAGGTGCTTTGTGGTCTGGAACTCTTGTGACAATATGCTTCATGCTTTGGTGATTGAATAAATGCTGCCTCTATTGGAAATGACTACCTACCTGTCCTTATACTGCCAAAAGAAATATTCTCCAGATTTAATTGATGTGAAGAAAACAATACATTCTGTGCTAAAAATTTAGCATGTGTTGTTTTTATCGGTAGTCTATCTCTGTGTAAAAAATCATATGTAGACATGCACATCTACTGAAGGGCTCCATGTATCATGTTTGTAGATTTTTATGCACTATGGCTGGAAGTGCATAGACTGCCAAATGTGGTGATTTATAATCACACACAGAAACTAGCCATGATAAAAAAAATGATTGCCAGCCCATTTTTTTTTTCATCTTAAAAAAATATGAAACATACACACAACCCGGTATGTATTATCCTGATACAAAACCCTTTTACTTAGTCCATGTGTCATGTTCCAAGCATGTCTGGGAAATAACTCTGAGTGCACACAAGAATGCACAGATAAATGAACCCTAAATTTATAGTCCCAAATTTGAAATTTCGCATAAAAATGGGACACTGAATCAAACACATGATAGTATTTTTGTATTTTATACAAGTTTATATGATGTATGCATACATGGACAGCAAAGATAATAATATACATTGAATTATGACAGAATCCTCAAATATTAACTATCAATAACAAAATTCAAGAACAGAAACCACATATAGTTTTGCAAGCAGAATATCTGGCACTTGTCCGTTAATAATGCAACGCTGAAGACATGCAATATAGATATTATGGTGGCTCCAATTTCAAAGTGTCTTGTTATGAAAGAGGTATGCTAAAAGAATAGTATGTCACTGTGATGATGATGATGATGATGTAGAGAGTGAGCAATTTGAAACAGTTCTGTATAAACTTATAACTGTGCAATCACTTCTTCAATTTCTTCTTTTGATAGCATATGAAAGTAATTCTCTGGTGTGACAGTTGCCATCTGCAATGCAAACAGAAGAGTAATATTACACAATTTGTAAATGTGATGTCATTGTCGTGTGTGTTCTGCATTTGAATGGTGATGTAATCAAGCATTAATTTATGCTAATTTATTAATTAAAAATCACCATAGACAACACTATGTGACAGCCCAAAATGGCTACAAACAAACCAAGATGGGAATTCAAACGAGTGCTAGTATCAACACTGCAAACATGCCATTATAAGTTCAAGCATGAGGCATTATGGAGTTCACTAGTAACCCAAACTGCTATGAATTTTCTGTTGCAGTGGCATTTTTTTTTTATTTTGTTCAATTTGTGGGTCTCAGACCAAAAATAAATTTGAAGTGTTTACCATAGATGGAATTAATCAAATTCACGACTGAAGTTAACAAAACACAAAGAAATGAATCTGTATTACACACATCTCGAGATTCATTATACAACATGCAACAGACACACCACTTAGACTGTCGACAGTCCCTCTGGCCTTACGTGTGTGTGTGTTTTTTTTTTATTATTAATATTAATCAAACGCCGTAGGCGTTTGCGAAATGCCGAAGGCATTTCAAGCGCGGGCCGTAAGGCCCGAGAGACTGTTATAGCCTGCAGGACTGGCCTTGCTATTAATTATGCATGCATCTCGATGACATAGTAATAATTTGCATATGGGCGGAGTTAAACTGTTATGCAAAGGTCAAATCGCGGTTTTTTTTTATGTCACGCATGACTTTGATCGTCTCGCCGAGTATAGATCGTTTTCTGCCAAGTATTATCCAGAACTACAAGTTGCGAACGCGAGTTATCTAATTTTAAACAAAGGAAGAGTGCGTTGGTGTCTCATGATGTACGACAACATTTCGCCCAGTAAAACTCCGACGAAAGTAGTGAGTAAATTGTGCATTTCCCCCCGATCCAAGGAGCTAATTTGTATTCTATGCGGAAGAGAATTCTCTGGTAAAAAGGATGCAGAATGTCGGCGAAAGTTATTTAAAGGCTCGTCGAAAACCGTCGTATGTAACAACATTGAGGTGGTGATAGGAGAGGAAATTGACCGACATCTGAACACTGATGTTTCTTGCCGATCTTGTGCTGATAAGGTGCAGACTGTCGTCAATAAATTGACAGAATGGCGGAAGTTGTACACATCGACGAAAAATAAACTGTTGTCCAGGTCTAGAGTCGAAGTGACGAAACGATTACGCAACCAGGAACAACTAAAGTCGTCAAAACGCTCTCTGGTGATGATTGATGATACAGCCGTCCTAGCCGAAGTTTCAAATGGTGACAACCCGCGTGTAACATCTTCTCAGTTTAGCAACATCCTACCAAATTACGATGTCACGGTGAGTTAAGCGATTATGTAATTGATATCCATTATTTAAATTATTAATTTAATGTTAAATATATATTCAGTCATTTTTGTATTATATTTGTTTCCTGTTAATTTATGTGTGCATAGCAGATACCCCCCTCTTTTTTTCTTTTCAACTATTAAATGAATCACTGCTATAAACAACAATTTTCTGTTTATTCATTAAAAAACAAAAATGTAAATTTGTCGATAATAATGAATGAATGGTGCACTACTTGAAATGGTCCAGGCAATGTATATCAATGGGTTTTAATGAAAAACACCAAGTTGAATTTCCCGTCTAGAAGACCCTGTTTCACTAAACTATCGCTCGAACATAAAGATGCTGCTTTTACCCCGATTTTCGTGAGTCGGGCTACCTGTTCTTGCATCAGGGCGACCAGTGGCGATACAATCAAAATAATGGATGATGGTTCGTCGGCAAAGTCACCGATACTGTCCAGCAGGAATGGCGCCATTTCATAAGTCAGCGACTTGCCACTGCCAGTCGGCGCTGTGAGAAAAACATCTTTCTTCTGCAAATAGCCATCAATGACTTGTCGCTGGATTGGTCGAATACTTTCATACCCAAGTTTCTTCAACGCCAGCGAAACTGCATCGCCACAAGCCATCTTCAAAGCAGTGCACTGAACGAAGTTTATAAACTATTGCGTCGTCTGGTGGCTCAATTTTTTTTTACTTCCTGTTGACCTGGGACTGCGTGACTTGTGATTGGTTAGCATTTTTTATGACATCACTCTGCCTGTCAATCATGATGGTACGCTACAGGAGAATTTCTCTACAGTGGCGAGTGGTGGCGCAGCAGGCTATAACAGTCTCTCGGGCCTTACGGCCCTCGCTTGAAATGCCTTCGGCATTTCGCAAACGCCTACGGCGTTTGATTAATATTAATATTAATAAAAAAAACACACACACGTAAGGCCAGAGGGACTGTCGACAGTCTAACACCACTCTGTCTTGGTAGAATTTGAGAAATGGTTGAGCTTCCTGTATCTAGTCTCAAACAATACTCTACTGTGCTCCCAGGCTCCATGTAGTTTTACTCACTCCATACTTTTAATAATCAGTAATGAAACAAGAGGGCAAACATAAATGACAAATCAGAGGATGCATTACCTCTACATTTGTGGAATTAAGCTTCTCTTCCATCACTTGTTTTAAGATACTTAGTGAAGATTTACTGGCCTCTTTTAACGTCATAGACTGTAATACAAATAACATGTTATTAACTAATGATTGAACGTGAAAGAACTGTCAACAGTATTAGAACAGTTTCCTGAATTTGCAAATAAGATGCACAAGCCTACGTCAGTAACAGATGACAATGCAGAAATTGTTGCATTTTGTTTCCAGCAAGATGGCCCCAGGAAAATGTATTGGATGACCCACAGCCTCAAAGTAGTATTGCTTTAAAATGTTACTATACCTTATGATAAACTTCTTGAAGAGCTGACTGTGCACCTTCAGACCCTGAGCCAATTGCCTTTGCATCATACTCAATAAAGGTACCTGACGGATCTAAATGGTATCTGTCAATATAAAAGTTGTAAGCTCTTTTGTAAAGATATTACCTACTTGGAACAAGACCACAAACCATCCTCAAAAACAGTTCAGGGAAATATAAATCATAGACAGATTAAATTATTTTGATTTTTAAGAGATGAGTTTAGGTCAATGAAATGATTTGAAATTGTAAATCACTGTTTTGTTTTGTGATTCACCTTGGTAATTTGGTAGGGATTTTTTCCCATAAGAACATATTGTGTGCATAAAATCCACTACTGATGACCTCATAAAAAAAGACTAAAAATAAATGGAAAGCAGATAACCAAAATTCATCTTAGTCCTATATCTACTGATCCCAGATTTCAATATTTTACTGCATAATTGTTGTGTGTTGATAATGCAAACCTTGTTGCAATTTTTTTTAATAGCACAACAGTCGTCATAGAGCAAAATTTTGTGTAAACAATGTATTTACACATGTGTAGTACCCCATTTGGATCCAAAAAATTAGGCACAAATTTGGTATTCACAAACCAAAAGTCTGCAATTATGAACACTCCTTGGCATACAGCATATTTAAAAATCACTAGTGTCTTCCCCATGATCTGTGGAGTGCTTCACTTGAGTAGAAAAAGTATGTGATTCTATTGCTGTTCAAAGCAGTAAAATTCATTATTGTAAAATTTACAGATCTATACTCACAACTGTGGTACTTTGTCGTCTATTCCTCCAAAAAGCAGCGCTACACCAAATGGCCGACTCTAAAATGTAAACATGAAAGCCAATAAGAAAAGAAGTCCTTAACATTTTAAGCATCTCAGAAAGTCATAGTTAATTATCTTATCAAACTAGTAATTGCATAGTCCCTGTGAGTTATCAAATTTAAGGAATATATAGAATAGAACATAAACAATCATGGCATGTCAGAGATATGTTCTAAACCAGAATTCAACAAAATGCTCGTCAGTTTGACTAAAAGTGTTCAGAAGGTCCTATAACGTCCAATGTATGTACCATTCTGAACAAAATGCATTCATATTTGATCAAGATCCAGTTCCATTAAAATGGTCACCATTTGGTCATCTTAAATCTGCTCATCAAACAAATGCACACCTGACATGATGTATATATATATAAAGTTTGCACAGGATCAGTCATGGCACATCTGGAGCCACATTCATTCAAACAAAATTGCCTTTAGTCTGCCATTTTTAATCCATTCTCAAAAAAATTTCACCTATATTCAACAGAGATTCAGCCAAGTTGAATCATGAAAATGGGCATGCATATGTATTCCAAGATGTATGATGTACTGGCATATGTGAGCTACAGTTGGAAACACACAGAAATCAATTCAGCAGCTCATGCATAGTCCATAGAAATAATTGTACAGTGGTGCATATTCAAGCAACATGGAAGGTTCTGTGATGTAACTCTGCCCCAAGAATAACACAACTTACCATAGCTCCTACGTCTGCATCATCATCACCAAACTGAAGTGCTAGATTAGATACTGCCTGTGTTACACTTTCCACTGTCATCTTCTCATTATAAGTGAACCAATGATTCTACATGTAATATGATGAAAACTTTTTGGTAACTGATTGTCTCAACAGGATTGTAGTACACATGATGAAATTTGTTCTGACAATGATGCTTAAATAAATAAATAAATAATATTACATCATGTTGATTATTTGGACCTAAACACACTTAACCCTCCAATCACAATCCCCACCCTTTATCATACAATACTCTATAGTCTCAACACAACCTTTATTTCTCGATCACGGATTGAGTGACATTCATGCTCTATTTCATAAGTTTAATCAATTGGAAAAGCTCATTTGACCATGCAACACAGTACAATACCAAAAAAAAGCAAAAACAGCAATATAAACACTAACCTGTGCTTCCACTCTGGCTTTGTCAACCATGATTCTTGAATCTGCTATCAAGCCACTCATTGCACAGGCTGTAAACAAATAACAAATTAAAGTAAAAACCTGTAGAAATGATTTATGTGGGAATATGTTGTGCTTTCAGAAACAAAAAATAGCCTTTCAAATAAACATGGAACTCCAGACACGTACAAAATTTGAGTGAAGCGCATAAAAAGGCTGTATTACATTACAATGGGAGACAGAGAATGGAA